GGGGTAAGTTGGCATGTCCCCAGGGAGTCAGATCGGTGACTGTGCAGGGAAGGGACATTTCTTTCCGTCCTCGCTTGGCTGACCCCGGGGCAAAGGTCTTTGTGGGGAAACTGAGGCACGAGCGGGTGCCACCCACCCCGCAGCTCTCTTCTGGCAGCACCCGCTCAGCGCCGCAGAATGAAGGTTCTGTTCGTCCTCCTCGTCGCCCAGCTCTGCTCAGCATCCCTGGTCCCGGGTAGGTGAGGTGTGGAAGGGCAGCACCCAGAAGTGGGTGCTGTTGGGTGCTATAGCCCGGCTCCCCTGCAGAGAGGGAGAAGGACCCCGAGTACTGGCGGCGGCAGGCACAGGAGACCCTGCGGAACGCGCTCCGGCTCCAGCGCCTCAACCAGAACGTGGCCAAGAACCTCATCCTGTTCCTGGGGGACGGTGAGATGGGAGGGGAGCCCCCACCCCGGGCCGGGGGCAGAGGGGCTGGCGGACACCGGGGGTGATGAAGTGGGCGCTGTGATGAACTGGGGCTTCGACACACTGGATGTTGTGGGTGCAGTGCTGAGTTGTGTTCTGGGGTAAACTGGGTGCTGCAATGAACTGGATTTACAAAATAAATGGGTGCTATAGTAAATTGAGTTTACAGCAAACTGGGTGCTGGATGAACTGGATTTGCAAAAAAATATTGGTTGCTGCAATCAGTTTGGTTTGCTTTAAGTTGGGTGTTGGGGTTAACTGGGTGCTGGTATGAACTGAATTTAGAGTAAGTTGAGTGCTGCAATAAATTGGCTTTGCAATGAAATTGTGTGCTGGGGCAAACTGGGTTACAATAAATTGGGTGCTGGCATAAACTGGGTGCTGCAATGAACTGAGATCACAGCAAACTGGGCGCAGGGATAAACTGGATTGGCGAAGAACTGGGTGCTCAGGTAAATTGGTTTTGCCATAATTTGGGTGCTGGGATAAACCGTGTGCTGGAATGAATTGGATTTGCAAAAAGCTGGGTGTTGCAACAAACTGCGTTCTCTGATAAACTGGCTTTGTAATGAAAAGCGGCTGCTGGGATAGACTGGGAGCTGGGATAGACTGGGAGCTGGGATAGACTGGGAGCTGGGATGAACTGGGAGCTGGGATGAACTGGGAGCTGGGATAGACTGGGAGCTGGGATAGACTGGGAGCTGGGATGAACTGGGAGCTGGGATGAACTGGGAGCTGGGATGAACTGGGAGCGTTAACTGCCATAAAAGCGATGGGATGAACTGGCCATGGGCCAAGCTGGCTGTGCAGTGACCCGAGATGAGCGGCTTTGCACGGAGGGCTGTGCGAGGCTGACCGTGTCCCGCAGGAATGGGCGTCTCCACGGTCACGGCCGCCCGCATCCTCAAAGGGCAGCTGCAGCACGGGCAGGGCGAGGAGAGCCTGCTGGAGATGGACAAGTTCCCCTTCGTGGCCCTGGCCAAGGTGAGGCTCCCGGAGCGCCGCGGGGACGGGCGGGCGGCACCGGGCGGGCTGGAGCGGGGCCAGGGAGCGGAGCTGGCTCCGGTGGCCGGGCCGTGCCA